TAGGTTCATAGCAAAGTTGAGTGGAAAGTACACAGAAACTCCCTGTCCCCCCAAATTTTTTACAATCGATAAACCAACACTGACACATCATCACTCCCGAGTCCATAGTTTACATGAGGGTCCACTTTTGGTGCTGTTCATTCTGTGGGCTTTGACAAATGTATAATGACACATGTCCATGATTTGCTTTTTATAAGCCTTTAACTCTTTTTGTTTTTTTGTTTTGTTTTGTTAATTTTCCATTAGGGAGAATTTCAAGCCTGCAACTGTAGAGAGAAGTTTAATGAACTTCCATGTTCTTATCACTGGGCTCCTGTAATTATTAACTCACAGTCAATGTTAGTTTCATTTAAACAGCTGTTCACCTCCCCCACCTCCTGTATTATTTTGAAGCAAATCTTTGGCATCATATTTCATATTTAAATATTCTAGCATGCATTTCTAGTCGACAACAAGTCCTTTATTAACATAACTATAATGCCATTGTCACACCAAAACATTCACAATTCCTTAATATCAGTGTTTTATATTTCCATTAGTCTCATGTCATAAATATGTTTTTATTTTGTGCTTATTTTTATGGCTTGTTTGAATCAGGATCCATTAACAGGACTTTAAATTTTCTTCTAATTTACAGCCCCCACCCCCCCAACCCTGTGCCCAATAGAGGTTTGCTGCTCTCACTGTAAGAGAGAGTTCTCTATACGTGAAGTCAGCATTTTATGATTTAAAATAGAAAGACCAATAGGGAAGCCCTTCTCAGCCTATACCAATCACAGTCCTGGTCCATGTGGCACGGCTGCCCACTGTCCTTGGGGACAGCTTGCCTCTTTCCATTACCCCTAACCAACCACTCCTGTTCCTTTTTCTGAGTCCCTGTTCTCTTTTTTATATTTCTTTTATAATTTAAGCGAACATGATTATTATTCAAACTTATTTGGTCTTTTTCTTAATCCATCTGTGCAGAAATGAAATGTTAGAACCTAGACTAAGCTTATCATTAACAAGTAGATTGATACAGAGGCAGTCCATGAGTAAGTAGACTTCTGTGATTTTAACCCCAGGGCATGGTGGACATTGCCCCTCAAAGTCTTTGTGCCCTCAGTACAGCACAAGGAAAAGAGGCCAAATAAATCAGGCAGCATCTACAAGAACAGAGTTCACACTGCAGCCAGCCAGGAAAATGAAGTGTGCTAATAAATGGCCAGGCAGATAAGAAACCAAGATACCCTAACCCAGGTTTCTATCATGGCGGAATTCCACTCTGCTTCACTGGCCCCGAACAAGAGTTAACAGTAAAACCCACACAAACAGTCTCCACACACCTGGCCAATGCAATGGTTATATCCCACTGATCCACTCCGAGGTGAGTTCGGGTGTACGCAGAATTGGAAACGTTTCTGGCCAGGGGAACGGGGATTGCCACTTTGAAATTGAGGCAGAGAAAGCATTCAGTCATGAGTGACCGCCCTATTTCTCTACAGGTGGTGACTTTCGATGCAGGGGGAGTCAGTGGTCACTGCAATCACGTTGCTCTGTATGCGGCCGTGAGGTAGGACTCTCTGCGTGTTGGAGGGGGGAGAGGGTCTGTTCGTTTGCTCAGGGTGGGTGGTTTCTAAAGCACTTCCCCCCTCACTGTCTGAGCCTCGTGGAACTGACCACTGAGGTACAGAGAGCCAGTGTTGGCCACATTGCTCACTACATCCCACCAGGCCCTCCGTGTGAGAAATCCCTCCTCAGTCGTCTTAATATTATTGTGTTGTCTCCTCAACTCCTGAGAGCTTCTTCCACTTGGAAAAATGGGGTAACATTTTATTTCTCTCTTTGCTTTGGCCACAGAGAGCTTTTGGGCCAAATTCGCATGTAGCACATGTGGGAGATTTGAAGGACTGAGTTTTGTGAATCAGTGTGCCTCTTGGCTTCATCTTCTTTTTCCTCCTTTTTAAAAAAGATTTTATTTATTTATTTGTCGGAGAGAGGAAGAGAGAGAGAGTGAGCACAAGCAGGGGGAACGGCAGGCAGGAGAAGCAGGCTCCCCGCTGAGCAAGGAGCCCAACGCAGGACTTGGCCCCAGGACCCTGGGATCATGACCTGAGCTGAAGGCAGACACTTAACCGACTGAGCCACCCAGGCTTCCCTTTCCTCCTTTTATTCTAATTTCTTTGGTTATCTTCCATTGTACATTTTGTACACTATATCAAATCTTTCTTTGGAGAAGGAAGATATACATATGTAATAGGATAACTTTTGTTCTTCATAGCCACCCTATTTTACTGATAGGCATCTGTATTTTCTGGTAAGAAACACCAAAAAATGCACCTCAAAGATATTGAGGGACTTACTCAGGATTGTACAAATATATACCATGTTTCCCGCCCTCTAGAGAAGTACTTCTTCTGGGCACCGTGAGTGAAGGAGTGGTGGACCTGGCCTAGGGGAAGGGAAGGGGCAACCTGAAGTAAAGGACTTACTTTCTAACTTTCTTCTAAACATGCCCAACATTCTCAGACTAGAGCAGTGAAATATATAAAGTTGGAAATGATCTCACCTATCATTAAGTCCAACCACCTCATTTAACTGAGGAAGTGAAGAGGTTTTCCCAGCACTGCCGGGCTGAACAATGGCGGAAGTAGAACTGGAATTCATTTCATATGAGTATGTTGTCTGTGTGTTGGTGGTGGGGTTGGACCACTTACCCCGTCTTTCTCCATGTCTGTGCTTCCAAACAAAAGCAGGCAAGAGATTTGGAGTTCTTTGTTGGATTGGCCTCACCTTCCTTTAAGGCAGGGAGTACAGAATGGCCTTCACTGTGAGAAGGTGGGAGCAGGGGAGGTCAAAAAGAAAGAACTATCAGGGAAGAAATATCAATTAATATTTTAAAATAGTCTCCTAGGGGCGCCTGGGTGGCTCAGTTGTTAAGCGTCTGCCTTCGGCTCAGGTCATGATCCCAGAGTCCTGGGATCGGGCCCCGCATCAGCCTCCCTGCTCCTCGGGAAGTCTGCTTCTCCCTCTCCCACTCCCCCTGCTTGTGTTCCCTCTCTCACTGTGTCTCTTTCTGTCAAATAAATAAATAAAATCTTAAAAAAGAAAGAAAAAGAAAATAAATAAATAAATAATAAAATAGTCTCCTGTCACAACTCATATTACAATTTCAAAAGAGAGAAACTTTGAAGAGTCCATCATAGTTACCTTCATCTCTAATAGGCAAAGCTTGGACCAGGGCACTTCATAACTATTGGTCATCCCCCAGATTGGCTGACCTTGGGGAAGGTGCCCACACTTGTCCCTCCAGCTGTAGCCAGAGGTATGGAATCCCAGAAACCTATATGGTGATTGATGCAAAAGAAACTACCTAGAAACCTACAGAGGGATCACAGGGTGTGGCAGTCCTTACTACGGTTGGGGAGGAAGAAATATTCCTCTGTCCAAGGTTCTTCTAGCTAGACTAAGAATTAAATTTCCATGAGAGATTAACAGCAGAAAATCAAATTTAATTTTGTCCTACAAAATCCATACAAACATGAACCCATACAAACATGAAATTCCAAAGACTGTCAGGCAACATGAGGCTTATATGGCATCCTGAGCTCAGGAGCGGGACGGGAGTCTGGCCTACAAGGAGAGGAGTACCGTTAGCAGGAAGGTGAGAGATGTTTGGAAAACAAAGGTGGCCCTGTTATGCAGATAAGTTTCTTAGGTAAAAAGGAATCTCTACGACTAGTTCTCTTCCTGGTACAGGCCCCCTTTCCAATGTAAGTTTAGGGGGTTGGGGGCGGGGGGTGTAAAGTGGTTTTCCTGAATTTGCTGGGTTTTGATTGCTTTTAACTCAAGGTAATCTACATGCCATTGTGGCCCATCTTGGAGAGGCCTGCCCTTGACCCCTATACTCTGAAGCCTCTTCCTGTTATCTGCAAAGGAATCCTTGCTCCCTCTCACTCCTGTCCTTTCCTCCTCCAGGACCCTGCACTCAGAAGGGAAGTTACCTAACGGTAAGTTGTCTGTTTTGCAAAAGTCTGCAAATTACTGTACCTCTAAGAAACTTATTGGGTGAAATTTGTAAATATATGGAGAACTGCCCTAGGTCAAGCCTCCCTAGGTGGGGCTGGGAAGGCTGGGCCACACGCTTCCTGACCCAGCTCACTGTGTCTGTCCTTGTGGGTCCTCAGACCCTAATACCAGGTTGTATCCTTTGGGAAGTGCCCTGTCAGCCAGGCAGCCTCTGGGTGTGAGGGGAGGCCAGATGTGTTAAGGACACAGAACCAATAGGAGATACATATTTAAAAGAGACTTATAAACTTGGCTCATACAAGTACAGAAGCTGAGAAGTCCCACAGTCTGCTATCTGCAAACTGGGGACCCAGGAAAGCTAGTGGTGTAAGTTAGTCTGGGTCCAGAGGCCTGAGAAGCAGGAGAGCCAATGGTGTAAATCCCAGTCCAAGGGCAGGAGATGACCAGCGTCTCAGCTCAAGAGTCAAGCAGAAAAGAACAAATTCTCCCTTCTTCCACCTAGTCTTCTATTCAGGCCCTCAATGGATTGGACCATGACCACCCACACTGGGGAGGGCAATCTACTTTCCTGAGTCCACTGATTTAAATGCTAGTCTCATCCAAAAATACCCTCCCAGGCACACCCAGAAACAATCAGCCAAACATCTGGGTACGCTGTGATGCAGTCAAGTTGACACATGAAATTAACCATGACACCAGGCCTTGCCCACTCATCTGTCTAGCTTTCTCCCCAGGTGGGTCTTTTTCGCCTCCAGTGTTCTTTCAGTCTGTCCAACTAAACTCACACCCCAGCCCCCCATTACTTAACCAGGCTATAAACAGCTGATGGGTGCTTGATGGGTTAACCTGCTTGAGTTAGAAAGGTGTTTGACCCTCCCCTTGGCCATTTACTGTGTGACACTGATGCTTAACCTCTCTAGGCCAGTTTCTGGTCTGTCAATGGGAATAACAGACATCCCTCAGGAGTGATATGAAGGTGAAGCAAATGAAAACAGAGTGGAGTGTGCTCTTCCTGAGTGGGCTGGTACCAACCCTGTGAGACAGGCTCCCACACCATCAACACCACTTTACAGATGAGAAAACTGAGTCTCAGAGAGCTGAAGTCTGTCAGGTCTCAAGCATCAGAGCAGGAACTAGGTCTCTTGCCTCCCAGTCCAGAAATTTCTGATCTTCATCACCTTTCCCTTGCCCTTGAAGTAGCCGGTTTCCAACCTCTAGCGACCAACCTTGTCTTGCTAGGGCTTGCATAGAGGGCAGCCGGCCAGGCGCTCTGGGGTCCTTTCACTCCTCCTATCTGTGAGCACGATGGGCAAAGAGCACCTTTGGTGCTACCGAGTCATCTGGCAACTCCATGGCCATGGTCTTGCCCTGCCCTGAGCCCCAAGGAAGGGGTAGGGTGCTCAGGAAAAATCTGCCTGGAAGCAACAAGACTCTTCACTTCTCCCCTCTCCGCTCCCCCCAACCAGGGTGTTCTGTGCTCACGCTTCAGTCAGTGAATGTGTTGCGCAAGTACATCTCCCTTCTGGACCTGCCCTTTTCTCTGCTTCACACCCGGGATGTCCTCTTCGTGCTCACCAGCAAAGAAGTGGCACGGGCCAAGGTGAGTGAGGACTGCGAAATCCCAGACACCCTCCCCCCGATCTGTGTCCCTGGTTCCTCCCGACCCCTAAACGAAGACCTTCCGCAGTGGCTCAGCATCTGAGTGTTAGGACTATCCAGCTAGACCTTGGCAGTCATAGATTATCAAGGACTTTCGCCCTTTTTTCTGATCATAAATGTAACACATGCTTTTTTAAAAGTAAAAATATATGCTCATTGTAGAACATCTAGAAAGACTTTATGTGAAAGCATCAAGAAGAAAATAAAGATAATCAATAAAAACTACCCCGAATGCCACCACTCAGAGATAATCATGGTTAATATATATTTTTTTTTAATGGAATCCCAGAGTGCCTACCATTTAAAACCTGTTCTAACAACATTCTGACCATTTTCTTCTATGTCGTTATGCATTAGAATTGTAATGGGTGCCTGCATTCCCCTGCATGGATATACGTAGAGGAACTCAGACCTGCCAGGAACCTCTATAAAGAGCCAAAAAGACCACCAGAGGCTTATTTGCCTATTGAAGAAATGTCAGGGCCAGTGAAGCCCTCGCAGTGAAAACTCTTAGCTGTCAGTAGGGCAGGTGATTCTGAAAACTGTGGAGTTAGGGAGCAGGCAATTAAGGAGAATTGCTCCAATCTGACCCCCAGTTGACTTAAGTCTACCAGGGAGAGAAGAGTAGCAATGAGTAAACCTAAGAGAACTCAGGATAATTATATTATTATTATTATTATTATTATTATTATTATTATTATTTTGCTTAGCTTTATTTTCTGAACTGTCTGCAATAAACGTGTATACCCACTAAGAGGCACTTTGCTAGATGCCGAGAATGCAACACTGACCAGAAACACGAATTCTCCTTTGTTTTATTTGATAGTTCATTAATTTCTGTTCTTTATTTTTGTCCTTTTACTTTATTCAGGTTTTACACTGTTATTTTTTTTTCAATTTCTTGGACTGACAAGGTCAGCTTTTTTTCCATTTTCAATCATTTTTTAAAAATACACTTTAATACTATTAATCTCCCTTGAAGTATTCCTTTAGCTGCATCTGATGAGTTTTGACACATACTTCTGTCACTCAGTTAGAAGTAATCTATAGTTTCCACTGTGAGTTCCTCTTTAATACATGAGGCTTGTAAGGGTGTATTTTAGAGTTTACAAATGCGTATGTGGGCATATATAGGGTCAGTCATTATCCACAGGTTCCATATTTGCAAAGGCGCCTATGTGCTAAAATTTCCTTGTAACCCCAAAATTAATACAGTGCTTTTGCAGTCACTTGTGGACATGGTATTTGCAGGGCAGTGAAAAGTTTTAAGTTACCACCGATGCACACACACAGGTTCCCAACTGTGGTTGAACAAGGTGACCCTCTGCCTTCTTGTTTCAGCTCTCATACCGCAAACAAGTATCCTTTCCACAGTATGGTGCCTCCCAATCCAGAGTCATCTGGCAACTCCATGACCATGGTCTTGGTGCCACACTGTTCTCATTTCTGTGCTTTTTGTTGTGATTTTACTGTTTAAAATGTCCTCTAAGTATGCCATTCAAGTGCTGTCTAGTGATTCTAAGGGCACGAAAGCTGTGGTACTGCTTACAGAGAAAGTATGTGTGTTAGATAAGCTTCAGTCATGCATGAGTTATAGCCCCGTTGGCTGTGAATTTGGTGAATGAATTGATAATATAATATTAAATAAGGTGTCTTTAAACAGAAACACAAATAAAACAAGGTTATGTAGTGATTGGTTGATGAAAATGTTGTGACCAGAGGCTCTCAGGAACCAAAACCTTTATTTCCCCTAGGAACAATGATGTAGTATTGACTAATTCAGGTGTTTGCAGTAACTTTATAGAACGTAGCTACCAGAACAAGAATCATCCTATAGCCTTTTTATTGTTGATTTAGAATTGAATTGCTCTCTGGTCATTATGACCTACTTTATAATCAGTTTTTGTAAATGTTAACATGTTCATCTAAAGAGAATGTGTGTGCTCTATGGGTTGCATTTCAGATCCTAGATAAAACCAGCAGATTGAACTTAGTACATATTTCATTCACAACTTGTGTATTCTAACTACTTTTTAAACTTTTTGATCTGTTACTTTCTGATGCAAGTATGTTGAGGTCTCCTACCATGAGTTTGCATTTGCCCATTTCTTTGTGTTTGCTTTATTTGTGTTGGGTGCACAAAAGATCAAGGTTGTTACATCTCCTTAGTAGACTATTCCTTTTATTATCCTATGTCTCTCATTATTAATGGTTTTGCCCTAAATTCTGTTTTAATCTTAACATTGCTGTAAGAGCTTTCTTTGGACTTGGATCTGCTTGGCTCATCTTTTCTTTTGTTTTTTTTTAAGATTTTACTTATTTATTTGACAGAGAGAGACATAGCGAGAGGGAACACAAGCAGGGGGAGTGGGAGAGGGAGAAGCAGGCTTCCAGCCAAGCAGGGAGCCCGATGTGGGGCTCGATCCCAGGACCCCAGGATCATGACCTGAGCCGAAGGCAGGGTGCTTAACGACTGAACCACCCAGGCGCCCCTGGCTCATCTTTTTTAAATACCTGTGCTATTTTTTTTCTTTAAGTCGGCTCCACACCCAGCATGGGGCTTTTTAATACCTTTATTTTTAACCCTTTGTTGTCATTTCATTTTTTTTAAAGATTTTATTTATTTTTATTTGAGAGAGAGAGCATGAGTAGGGGAAGGGACAGAGGGAGAGGGGGGAAACAGACTCCCCATTCCCACTGAGCAGGGAGCCCGCTGCGGGACTCGATCCCAGGACGCTGAGATCATGACCGAGCCAAAGGCAAACCCTTAACCAACTGAGCCACCCAGGCATCCTGATCCTGTATTTAGAGATTTATGAGCAAGAATGTTCATTAGTATAATTTTTGATAGTCAAAAAAGGAACTAATATTCAGCAGATGAATGATATAGTACTGGATAACCCACAAAATCATATCTTTGAAGAAAATGTACTGGAAATGCTCCAAAAAGGGGGGGAAGGGATCGAAACCATTTTGATATTTTGTATTCCCTTGGAAAAGTAATAGAAAAACAGTTTGTAAAAAACCAAATTGACAGTAAATGTCTGTTTTATTGAAAAGTGCTGAAAAGCCATTGAAAGGTTAGGGGACGTGAAAATTAGACCACTTGGGGGCAGGATGATGTGGGAAACTCATGTGACTTGGTAGCTGTTACAAATAGACAAGTCAAGTGTGTCTGGACTACAAAGTTCATCCCTTCCCTCAATGTTTTTCTACAATAAACATTTTGGGGGACGCCTGGGTGGCTCGGTCGGTTGGGGGTCTGCCTTCGGCTTGTGTGGTGATCCCGGGGTCCTGGGATCGAGTCCCGCAGCAAGCTGCCTTGCTCAGCATGGAGCCTGCCTCTCCCTCTCCCTCTGCCGCTCCCCCTACTTGTGTGTTCGCTCTCTCTGACAAATAAATAAAATCTTAAAATAAAATAAAATGAGTTCTTTACATAAAGGTCTTCAATGATAATAGCTCAGAGACGCAGTTTACTTTTGGTACTTAGAGAAAGACGGGCAGGCACCGTTTATATATGTTATATCCAGTTACATCAGTCGCTACGATCTATGGTTTAAAAACGGAACTGCGCTAGGTCTGGATAACAAGACAATAAACATTTTGGCAAGGAGAACCCCACGCCCATGTGTACTCTTTGGTGTGAACGGGTCTCTATGTCTTCTTTTTTCTTCTCCTCCACTTCCTGTTCCTCCCAGCTTACCTAATTCAGAGCAGCTTGAGCACAGTATTGTAGCTCGCGGCTCGCTTCCCATAAGCCCTCCCCGCACGTTTTGCACTGCCGAATATTTACCATCATATGTCGTGTCGGGCATTGTGCTGCAAAGCCATAAAAAAAACGGGACACAGATCTCCGCGACGTAGCGAAGCAAAGGGATCAAGAACGTGGGCTCGGGGGCGCCTGGGTGGCTCAGATGGTTAAGCGTCTGCCTTCGGCTCAGGTCATGATCCCAGCGTCCTGGGATCGAGTCCCGCATCGGGCTCCCTGCTCCTTGGGAGCCTGCTTCTCCCTCTGCTTCTCTCTCTCATGAATAAATAAATAAAATCTTAAAAAAAAAAAAAAAACGTGAGCTCGGGGCCATTCACGCGGCTCTGGCTTCAGGCGCCAGCTGTGCGGTCTAAATCCACCTAATGCACCGAGACTGACCGCGTGCCGTGGCCGCCATTAGCGTCACATGATTTTGTCCCCGGGCTGGGGGTCAGAGGGGCAGGGGAGGCAGGGATGGGAGGCCCAACCGCAGAGGTTCTGGCGTCACAGGGAGAAGCGGGAGTGGGCTACAGCACCCGGTGTGCTCGTGGGAGGCGGAAGTTCAGGTGAGGAAAGAAGGAGCGAAGCAGCTCCGTGACCGGCCCTCTCTGCTTCCCCTAGAGAGCCATGTCCTGCCACCGAAGCCAACTACTCTGGTTCCGCCGCCTCTACGTGCTCTTCTCTAGGTACATGAGAATCAACTCCCTGCACTTCCTCTGAAGCCTGGCGGAGTCTTCTGGTCCAAGGAACACGGGGAGAAGCAAAGACCGGGAAGCCTGAGCCGGCTGAGCAGCCTGAACCAAAGGAGAGCCCAGTGTGCACGGGAGGCCTTCCTTCCAGAGCTCTGCCGATCCGCGCTGTGAGGCTCCAGCAAAGGGGCGGCCGTGTAGGCCAGTGGGTTGCCCCAACGTCCGCTTCTTCCTCCGCAGCAGGCCAAACCAAACCAACCCCAGGACAATAATCGCTTCCCTGCCAGGTTCTCAAGTGCTGGAAAACAGGCTCCATAATGGCACAATGTATGTCTGACACCTAGCACAGAGCCTGCTATGATTATAAATGCTCCTGAAAGTACTCTGAAATCACTCCACAGGTGCCACGATGCTGTATTTTTATGTTGTTTCCAAAGCTGGCTCACCACACACACACGAACAGTCTAGATACTGAATGAGTTCAACCATGATTCCTTTGATTCACACTGTGGCCTCTGTATCAGATTTGAATCCAGGGGAGACTTCTCTATTTAACATCACTAGTCGTTAAATTGACTGGGGCTCCCAAAGTCTGACCACGATGCCCAGCATTTCCTACTGAGACTATTAGGATGTGGGCCCTGCACCGAAGGAGCTTACAATCAAATATCTCAGCTCCCAGTCTTTTGAGGGAAGCAGGAAATAGGAAGGGAAATCTGGAAGTCATGTGTGTGGGGTTTTTTTGTTTTTGTCTCTTTTTAACACTCAAAAAACTGATGTCTTAAAATTGTGCTACAGACAAAAGCAGTCTGAGGCATCTGGCTTGGAAGCTACGCCCGTGGTCCAGCTAACAGCCCAGGGAAGTGGCCTGAGGCAGGCAAGCTCAGCGGTCAAGGGCACAGGCTTCACATACTGGTATGAGGCCAGATTTACCAGCCACGTAGCCACGGACAAGGTGTTTAAACTTTCTCTGACTCAATTCTCTCGTGTGCAAAACGGAGCACAATCATGGTACCAACCTGAGAGGAGATGAAGCCTGGTGGGCGCCCAGTGAAGGGTCTGGCGCGCAGTCAGGGCTCAGGAAGGATGAGCGGCTGGTGTTCTGAGATCTACAGAATACGCAGGCCTAACGCAGAGGGACTCGCAGAAGTTGAAGTCCTGACACAAAAGGCCCCTGGTATGTGTTGTCCAGGGAGTATCGTCTCTGCCCGTTGGAGGAAGGCCTGCATTGCTGTATCTATAGCAACAGGTTATTTTTTTTTTAAGATTTTATTTATTTATTCGACAGAGAGAGACACAGCAAGAGAGGGGACACAAGCAGGGGGAGCGGGAGAGGGAGAACCGGACTCCCCACTGAGCAGGGAGCCCGATGCAGGGCTCAATAGCAGCAGGTTAGAGATGTCCTCTCTCGAATGCCTCCTAGGGGCCAAATGGGACTGACCGAGCTATCAGGCCCTGAAGCTAGAGTCGAAATGCAAGTCCGGTTATGTTATCTGCCTACTGAAAATCTGTCAATAGCTCCTAATAGCTTCCATAGAAACTGTGAGAAAAAAGCAGCCGCTGATGCTAGGTTGGGGGGGGGACGACAAGCTGCCTCCCGTCCTGTTCCTGAGAATACAGGCACTGGACCAGCCTCTCTGGACTGCAAGTCGCAATATGTATTAAGAGCTTATTAAAAAAAAAAAAGAAAGAAAAAAAAAGAGCTTATAAAATACCCAAACCCTGTGACCTAAGGAAATACTTTAAAAATTAAAATTATAATTATATATACAGACATCATCACAGTATTATTTATAATAACACAATTCGAAAAATCCAGGGATGCAATCATATTTAGTAACAAGGAAGAGTGTTTATGATATAGTAAATTTTAGAAAGCAGGTTAGGAATGGTACAATCTCGGGCGCCTGGGTGGCTCAGTCGTTAAGCATCTGCCTTCAGCTCAGGTCATGATCCCAGGGTCCTGGGATCGAGCCCCACATCGGGCTCCCTGCTCTGCGGGAAGTCCCGCTTCTCCCTCTCCCACTCCCCCTGCTTGTGTTCCCTCTCTCGCGGTGTCTCTGTCAAATAAATAAAATCTTTAAAATAAAAAAAATGGTACAATCTCATTTTAGTAAAATAAACATACACACACAAATAAATATGTGTGTGTATATACACACATAAAAGTGTATATAGAGAGGGCAATAGATATACAGAGATGTATATCCAAAAGGTAATTACCGGGGTGCCCGGCTACCTCGGTTGGTAGAGCATGGGACTCTTGATCTTGGGGTATCTTGAGTTCGAGCCCCACATTGGGTGTAGAGCTTGCTTTTATTTTTTTTTAGAGGTAATTACTAATTAGTAAGGTCATCTTTCTAAAGTGAACATTTATAATTTTAAAGGATTTTATTGTTGTTTATGGATAGTTTTGATGTGATTAAGCACTTTTTAAAAAAATATTTATTTATTTGACAGAGAGAGAGACAGCGAGAGAGGGAACACAAGCAGGGGGAGCGGGAGAGGGAGAAGCAGGCTTCCCGCGGAGCAGGGAGCCCGATGCGGGGGCTTGATCCCAGCACCCTGGGACCATGACCTTGAGCCGAAGGCAGATGCTTAACGACTGGGCCACCCAGGCGCCCCTAAACACTTTTGATATAATGTAAAGCTAAAAAAATGTGTACAGCCAAGAGCGCCGGGGTGGCTCAGTCAGTTAGGCATCTGACTTCAGCTCAGGTCATGATCTCAGGGTCCTGGGATCGAGTTCCGCATCAGGCTCCCCCTGCTCTGGGCTCCCCCTGCTCCTCAGGGAGCCTGCTTCTCCCTCTCCCTCTGCCTGCCGCTCCCCCTGCTTGTGCTCTCTCTCTGTTAAGTAAATAAATAAAATCTTAAAAAAAAAAAAGGAAATGTGACCATTTGTGGGGAAAAATATATATGTCTACACATCCCATTGCGTGTAAATAAATGGGCTATTTCTGGTAACTGCTTGTCTGAAAAAGGAAGTTGGGTGGGAGCAGGGGAAAGGAGACCTTTTCTGGTCCCTTTTGAATTTTATACCATGCACATATATTCCCTATTCAGAAATACTTTCAAATTTTAGAGGTTAGAAAGCTCTGTAGAACCATCAATAGTTGTTGCTTCTGAGTGGTGGGACTGGAATTATTTTCTGCTTTTGTTTTACTGCACAGGCCGGCTATTTCTTTGTAAATAAATTGAGTAAAATTCTAGGTGGAAATGAAAACAAACTAACGTTTTTATTTCCTGCTGCCCGGGGCTGGATGCCGTCCCCGTTGCTGGAGGACAAGCTCCCCCTCCCTGGCTCTCTCCATCCCGACACCCTCTGGGGCCTTGCAGAGCCTGGGGCTCCTAAAGCTGCAGGCTCCCTTCGGGGTTCCCAATGGGAACAGAGCTAGGTTCTCCGTGGTGCCTGGAAAGAGCACTGGGCAGCAGCACGGGAAGGAAGGATGCTCCTCAAAGCCTCGCTCAGGTTAGGGAAAGGTGCCCTCCGTGGGCAGCGTAGCCCTGGGGACACTTGGCAAGAACGCCTCTGTGCAAATTGTCAGAAAGCAGCCCTTCCCCCAGGCAGACATCCGCCCTCACCAGAGCACAGCCTGGTGAGAGGAGCTCGGGCCACCAACTCTGCCCCCTGAGCCACGCACTTGTATAGTTAACAACCTGCCAAACTGTACAACAGCCCTGAAGCCTAGAGCAAAGATCAGATGTTGGTGGTTTCTTCAAGGAGCAAAGCAAGAAAAGAAGGAAGGAAGCGGGGGGCGTGGGGGGGGAGGCAGGCAAAGGGGAGGGAAGGAAGGGGCCAACCACACACACACACACACACACACACACACACACACACACACACGATCTCAACTAAGAATTCCCTAGGAAGCCGCTGTCTCTACTCGTCCAGAGTCCTGGGAGGCCGGCTGGTTCGGGGTGGGCGAGCTGCTCCTGTTCCCTGCGGCTGGGGGAAGGTCACCCCGTGTCAGAGAGACCTGCGGGCCCCTCACGGGGGCTGAAGAGAGGGCCCGTGGTTTGCCAGTTCTCTGCCCTGGCCCAGAAGAACAGAAACCACCTGGCCTCCCACCGCTCACTGCTCCACACCAAGCATAAGCAGATCCAGTCTGAAAGGGGAACCTTGGGAGAGGGAAAGGAAGTCCCACCTGCAGTGGGCAGCCGTCTCTGCAGGAGCAGTTAATGGGAGACTTCATCAAAAACAACAATGAAAGCTCAGGTCCTGGTCCAGACAAAAAAAGGCTTTTTCTCAGGAGTGGCCAAATTAGTAATCTGGAACATCAGGTAGAAGACATATCTCAGAACCCAGAGGGCATTTAGCTCGGAAATGGAAATCATGATGGAAAAGGGACTTGAAAAATACATCTAAGGGGAAAAAAAGAAAAGAAAAAGAAAATCCAGGAGACCTAACATGTGAATAATGGGCGTTCCAGAAGGAGAAATAGTTACAGATGGGGGATAAGAAAGGAGAATTTACATAATCTGAAAGAGACTTGAGTCAGTGCATCAGAAGGGCTCACCATATTCTAGACAGCGGTGACTTTTTAAAAGAAACACACGGGGGCGCCTGGGTGGCTCAGTCCATTGATCTCAGGGTCCTGGGAGGGAGCCCCGCCGGGCTCCCGGTTCTCCCTCTGCCTCTGCCCCTCCCCCCACCCCCCCATCCCAGCAGGTGCTCTCTCTCCCAAATAAATAAATAAAACCTTAAAAAATAAAATAAAATAAAAAGATGCACACGTGTGCTGCAAAATCCTAGATTTCAAGTGCGGGGAGGGGATAAAAATATTGCAAAGGTCTCCCCTGGGTTCAAGGGGAAGCTCTGGAGGAGAAGCATCTTGCAGACATAGACAAGTCTGGGGGCTCTGTCTGGGTTTGCGGGACAGGAAAGGTCACCACCTGCTGAACAGTGCAGAATCCCAATTAACTAAGGAGAAAAGAAGAAATGAAAAGAAACTTACAAGCCTGCATGAGTAGGGAAAAAAAAAAGGAAGACAGGAAACAAAGCATAAAGAGTAACAAATACAATGGAAATGATATAAAAAGAATCAAATCAGGTATCAGTTACTTCAAAAAAAAAATTTGGGATAATTTCCCTGCCAAAACTGAGAAAACAAAATCTAGCATCTAGAAGTGACAAAGTGGCTAAAAATAAAAGGATGAGTCACTTACCATATACCAAGCAAAGGCACACGAGAGAGTGACAACACACATCCAAGCATCTTAAACCTTGAACAATCGGGGATATTTTAGACGGGAACCAGAGTCACTCCGTGAGAAGAGATGCACCAAGTATCATAGCAGCCAGATACCTGCAAGAAACTCTCAGAAATCCGAGTTCTTTACTTGATTTTATTTAGGGCGCCGGGGTGGCTCAGTCAGGTAAGCATCTGCCTTCCACTCGGGTCATGATCCTGGGGTCCTGGGATCGAGCCTGGCATCGGGCTCCCTGCTCAGCGGGAAGCCTGCTTCTCCCTCTGCCTGCTGTTGCCCCTGCTTGTGCTTGCTCTCTCTCTGTTAAATAAATAAGATCTTTTAAAAAATAAAATAAAGATTTTATTTATTTATTTGAGAGAGAGAACAAAAGTGGGGGGGGGGTAAGGGGCAGAGGGAGAGAGACAACCAGGCTCCCCGCCCAGCAGGGAGTCCGCCACGGGTCTCGATCCCAGGACCCTGAGATCATGACCTGAGCCAAAGGCAGACGCTTAACTGACTGAGCCACCCAGGTGCCTCCCCCTCCCCAGTTCTTTATTTAAAAAACAAAACCACAGGGGCGCCTGGGTGGCTCAGTCGTTGAGCGTCTGCCTTCGGCTCAGGTCATGAACCCGGGGTCCTGGGATCGAGTCCCACATCGGGCTCCCTGCTCTGCCGGAGGCCTGCTTCTCCCTCTCCCACTCCCCCTGCTTGTGTTCCCTCTCTTGCTATGTCTCTCTCTGTCAAGTAAATAAATAAAAATCTTAAAAAAAAACAACCCAAAATAATAATGGAAGGCTTTAATTTTTTTCAGAATGTTGACAAATCAAGTTGGCAAAAAGTAAAGACACAACATTTGGATAATATAAGGCACTTAAAGTCAGCATTCACTTCTTAGGTATAAAACATTTACAAAATTCAATTATTGATCGGCCCCTGAGAAATCCCTAATAAATTTCCCCAAGTAGATTTTGCACATTTTTTATCATAATCAATAGATTTCAGTAAGTTTATAAAATGAGGGGCGCCTGGGTGGCTCAGTCAATTAAGCGACTGCCTTGGGCTCAGGTCATGATCTCAGCGACCTGGGATCCAGCCCCACATAAGGCTCTCTGCTCAGCAGGGA